AAAAAAAAAAAAAAAAAAAATCCAGAAATAGGAGAAAGTTATCAGAAGGAGATTAAAATATTTTAATAAATATTTTAAATTTAAGATTATTAAATTTAGCCTGTAAAAGTACAATGCTGAAAATGATTTGAACTTGCACTTTTGAAAGCTATTGAACAAAATGTTACGTGAACCAAAGCAAATTGTCTGATTTTCTTATACCTACTTCTACACTCACAAATGAATAAAATCCAAAGAAAACGGTGTTTGCACTGACCAAGACCCCAACCAACTATATGGCATCATTCTCAACTAGAATTTATTTAATAAAATAACTTCATTTTCACTTGCACATTGTATTTCTACAATATTGTTTTTAATTAATTGCCGAAATGACTGTCTTTATTTGATGGAGGTCTTATCTTGGCTTGAAAAGAAGAAAAATCCTATTTGCTTGTCTTGATCGCCTTGGTTAGATTTGGTGCAAGTTTTCGGTACATGAAGGTTGACGATGTGCTGTTTCCACAGGCATTTCACACATTTAATAGATTTTAAACTGGTAAAGTAAAATGGGTGCTAGTATAATACTTGTGTTGAAGGAATGTACATCTCTTGGCCTGGAAATGGTTTAAAGTCCATTGCAAATTGCAACTAAATTGTTATCCAAGAGGATTTCATGTGCAGTGTTTTCTTTTCAAACAGTCACAATGTAGATGTTGATAACTAAATCAAATTTTTAATACATTTTCATTTTCAGTGGATTATTTAAAATTTGGAGGGAATACTTGGTATTTGAAGGAAAAATAATTATAAGTTAAGACTTATTAAGATAAAAAAATACCTGTTAATCTATTAAAGATAATATTAACTTCATTTTCATTGTTACGTATCATCAACACATAAAAATAGTTTTAAACAGTTCATTGAGTGATATCAAAATGAGTAAAAACAGGCAATATATTGTTTAAAACAAAAGAAATGATTTTATTTTTTGTTATGGAAATAACAATGTGCAGCAATACTGTAGCTTACTCAAAGCAGCCAGGTTTTGCTTTAAAAATAATAACATATCTAAAACAAGGCAATTATTTTTTAGGATTTAGTAACAAAATTTGTAATTATTTCTTTGTAAATCTGAAAATCTTATTTATCTTCAACAATCTGCTAATAAAAAATAATTAAAAATTAATAAATGCAGAATCTCAAATTCTAAGGTCCCCTTATTTGAAACCAATAGCAATTCAAAATGATGCTGTACCATACTGACATGCCATATTAACAGATTAATACAGGGGTGGATCCAGAGTTATTTTCTGACAGTCTTCCAATTTATCTTTGTTGATCCATCCTCCATTTTTGACCGTCTTCCGACAGAAAAAAATAGATACCCGTCAATGTAAACTTGAAAATCTGACCGTCTTCCGGAAGACCCAGAAGACGCCCTAAATCCGCCCCTGTAATATGCCTCTGGTTTACAATGTACTCGTATAATCACCACCTTTTCTAAATTCTACTCGGAGCTAGAGCAAGGGGGGTTAATCCAGGCCCATAGCCAGCAAATTCAAAAGGGGGGTTCTTTTTCTGAAAAAGTGGACCTTTTACAATGAAACTTATGTGTACCTAGGTAAAACTTTACCCAAAATGGACCTTTTCCTGACAAAAGGGGAGGTTCTTTCGAACCCCCCAAACCCCCCCCCCCTGTAATCTCTTCATCTGATTGCATTCAGCAAGTTTCCCTGTTGAGTTGGATCAATCTACATAGAGACTGATAGTTTGTGAAAGAGCCTGAAGAGGTAGTTAACTTTTTCCAGGTTACAATTAGAATATGTAGTTATCACTTAATGATAATTATTTCATGTATGATATCCTCTGCCCATTTCAGAGAGACTAAAGACCACAAGGCCAGTACTTTTTAATTTTCCAACCATGTTTTAAAGTAGTGATCTCACATTTCAAGGATATGCAGTGTAAATGCTAGGCCTGCCTCCACTGACTGCTCTGGTCAACTGTGACGTATCTCCTCATCATCTTCTCATATATATTATATATTATCACTCAAATGCACTATACTCATGTATATAATCACTTCAGAATATCACCATATATGCTAAAAATATCCGAATTCTTCTAAAATGTTATGTTGCTTTACCACAGCCCCCACTGAACAATAGTGGTCCAATAAAATCGAAAAATATTGGTTCTATAAAATCAAGTTAGTAAACTTTACTTCCTAATCAATTTTAAGATAACATCAAAGGGAAGATGAGAAATGCTTTAGAAAGAACAGAAATTTCTCACTTCTAACATTCTGTGAACAGTGTACTTCGAGGAAGATACCTCTTCACGGTTCCCTAAACCAAAGAACAGACACAGTTCCTATTATCTCATAATTCAACATTGTTTTACTCTAGAATACCAAAAGGCGTCACCTTAAACTTCCTGGAAAAGTAAAATATCTGAACTGACATTTTCTGCTTTTTTTTCTTCTGTGCAGTATATAACCCTTGGTCATTTCCACCTTTCATTTGAATATTTGTTTTTGAGTGAGCAGCAGTTATGCCTCTTATATTACTACCTCATTTCTGATTTGGCAGACTTTGATGAACTAGTAGGAAAGATTAATAGGTCAAGTCCCTGTCCAGAAATCTAAAGATGGTGCAGTTTTTTGTTTTATTTTTAGTTATTTTTTTGCTGATCAAGTAATTATTTTGGTTTATCTTGTTACATGTACACTTTATTTGAGTCATATAAGAGGTAAATAGGAGTGATTCTTGTGCGTTTCAGGAAATCTTTGCTCACTCCATATACATAACTCAAAGCTTTCCACAACACCTGATCATGTTTCACAGCCTGTAAGTGTTACTTGCATAGTGCATCTGGAAAAAACAGTTTTCAACTTATTTTCAGTGTACCAGTTTAAGTTCTACAACTCAAATCAATACTCTAATACTGAAATAAGTGCAAGTGTCTTAATCGTTCATTCAGTCTTTTTTTTTTTTTAGAGAAAACAAATTTCTTCGAATGAAAATGATAAGCATGTCATATACGTCTTTCCTGAGATTTGAGTGCAGAAATATCCCTGTCCATCAAAATCAACAGTCACTTCCTTCACAATCATGATGGTCTCATCTGGCACAATCATGACTATCTCAGCTACCACAATTTCTTCTACAGCTATAACTTGGACATCTTCTTTTTGTAGGAATCATTTAAATTTTCAAAACTTCCATGTTTTCCTGCTCCTTCCATAAACCTCTGAGCACCTACAGAGTGAAATGAAATCATTTTCAGTTGCAATTATGTAATCTCTCTCTCTCTCTGTAATACGTGTGTGTGCGTGTGTGTGTATGTGTGTGTGCAAGTGTGTTGCTCAATTTAATAGTCTACATTTCTAAGTGTAATCAAATGTGTGTGTACATATCTAAAAGTCTACATTTCTAAGTGTAATCAAACAGCCTACAGAGAAAGTCGAAAATTAGGACGGTCATCCCATCTTCAATGTCAACGTCCCTTTGACCCAATTTGTTTTCCATGCATTTCTATTTTACTTGTCCACAGCAGTTTACGACAAGGTGAAAAAATAATTTTCAAAATTCTCTTGCTTTGTCAGCAATATATACTTGCCACTTCCTCCCAAACCATATACCACCTAACATGTACTCAGTTCAGTTCTCAGAACTTAACGACTCATTTTCTCAGGTAAAATTCCCTAAATCAATTACTCTTAAAAAACACCATTAACTCTGTTCAAATTTACAGAAAAATGACCATACCTTTTATTGCCTCGTGGTTGATAACCCCACTCCCGTTGTAATACTCAAACTGCACTGCATCAAAGAACCTCTTAGCATCGAATGTCGCGTGGTGTGCAGACTGTCTGTCTGCTATCATACATTCCTGGGGATAACCTGCTATCTGCTGAGCTAGATCTATGGCAGCTTCCAGAGCTTAAAAAAAAAGGAAAAAGAAAAATTATCAACTGTTCAAGAAGCCTCTGGTTCATTTTACAACTATTATGTTATTTAATACTATTAATTTTTCATCAATACTTTTAAAACACGTCTTTTCTAACATATTGATGAATTTAAAATCTAGAATGGTTGGACACCTGAAGGACATCTCAACAAGGGTGACCTTTTAAGAATGAAAGTTTTGTCAAAATACAGTTTCATCTATTAAGTACAATATACATATTTCAACAGAATTTTGCAATATTCATAATTTTTTAGATTAAAAAAAATCTTATTATAATTAATACAAAATCTATAGTTACATTCATCCACATACTACTTCTGAGCACAAATATCAATTTATGTCACCTAAGATATGATAACAAACCAAGAGAGAGAGAGTGATGGGGGGATGGAAGAGGAGAAAAGGAAAATAAACCCCTTGCAGATTATTCATTGAAGTAAACGCTATACAATTATTCTCTATAGCTTTAAGGGTCCTATTAATCCTCACCTTTCCCATTCTGTACCAGTCTGTTGGCCAGTCCTATGTTGTACGCCTCTGTCGCGGGACATGGCCGCCCAGTTAGGATGAGGTCCATCGCTCTGGAGAACCCAACCAACTGGGGAAGACGCACAGTGCCGCCATCTATCAGTGGGACACCTAAAATAAACTAGAGGATCAGAGAGGCGATACCGCCTCCAAATATTGTACCACCAGCTGGAGCAAACGCATTCGTATAGACCCCCACATACACAAAATAAGGGACACAGCCACCAGTTTTGTGCTTGACAAGCTGTAAAAATGCAATCAACAAGAATTTTTTAACTATTGCAAAAAACATATATGGTACAATCAAATTTAAGTTCTTCGTAAGGTAGGTCAAGGGTCAATTTCAAGGTCACAGTAAATTGCCAGTATATGACTTCCTATTCAAGTTCAAGAGTAACTATGGACCTATCTCTGTCAAGTTTGAAGTTAAAAGAGAAAGAAATTAGCAGAGTTCAGTTCATGATAAAAAGTAGGTCAAAGGTCAATTT